AAATAATTTCATTCATTTCTGAATAAGTCCTGAAAATTTCATTAAAATCCAACAATTATTTCATTTTTGCAAGAATTTCATAATTAACGTGTGTTTTCCGCGGGAAATGCGCAAAATAAAACAAACTTTTTTTTAGTTGTTTGGCACTGTCGTTAAAAAAAAAAAAAACAATTTTTAAGCAAAATTTTCTACGTGCTAGAAAGGAGTAAAAAATTTCAAGAAATATTTAAAAAATACTTTGGTCTTTCCTCTTCATAACATAAACATAACAAACAAAACTTTGTTTTCGTTGATATGAGTCATTTTTAATCGTGATATGCCGATTTTTTACGTGACCTAATGGACATACCTAAAATAAATAAAGGCGATTAACCATTATTTTCTTAAATTATGTTGTATCATAAAATATCATAGGACAACAATAAAAAGGTGTTGACTTGACAAGCATGTAATCACTAGTGTTTGTTTTAAAAATCATTTTCTCTTAACAGAAATACTTTTTCAGATCGGATTAATTATACTTTAAAATCATCTAATATTCCTCAAAGTTTCAGAAGAGGGTTTTATTTTTTGGAAGATTTTTCAAAACCGAGAATTAACTTGTTTACAAATGTGTCAAAAAAAAAAAAAATGACAAAATCGTGAAAGAGACCAAAAAAGCTGAGATTCCAACCAATATAATTTTTATATAAAAATAACATTAATACGGCATAATTGCATATTAAGATTCTTTGTTTTTTCTGTATATTTTTCTTCATAAAATACAGAGTATGCTGCATTAAATCTAAAACGAAAGCTTCAAGAATACTTTCATTTTTACAAATTCATTTTAAATAGGCTTGTCCCAGGTAACGCTAAAAAAGTGGTATACCCTGGAGAAAAAAGGTCCCCAAATGGATAAAAAAATTTTAACGTGTAAATGTTTGTTAAAATTAAAGAGAGAAGACCAAAGTATTTTTTTAATATTTTTTCAGATTTTTTAATCCATCCTATAAATTTAAAATTTTTTTTAAAAAATTCGTTTTTCTTGAATAAAAAAGTTAGTAAATTTGATTAATCGGACATCATTTCTGCCCGAGTTTGTAAACAACAACACAAAAAAAAAAAAAAAAAAAATAAAAATCAAACTTAGTTCAAAAATCAATTAAAATTTTTTAAAAGTCAGTTACATCTTTTTTTTTGTTATCTTAGGAAATTTAGAATGATTAAAGTACACTTAATGTAATTTGAAAGAAACATTACTTATTTTTTTTAGCAGAAAATTTTTTAATAGAGATATTTCCAACCGTGGTACTCACGCGAGTGCGTGATTGAAGGGTGTTAATTGATGGGTGTCAATATATTGACAACTTACGTCAAGGGAATTTATCGTACGGTAGCGCAGAAGTGATGTAATTCATTCTAATTTTAAGTGAACCTGGTTAGTAAATTTAAAAAAAAAAAAAAAAATTCACTTTAAATTTCTGAAGTAAAAATAACTTGCTTCTATCAAGAGAAACAAGTCTACCTCATGTGACATTATTTCAATGCTGTGCATCCATACTTTTGGAGACGATTTTAAATACAATTTTGGAATATTAAAAAATTTTAAAAATATCACTGGTTGTCAGATTTTAATAAGCTTTCAAATTTATGATCTTCAAAAAGTAGAGAACAAAATATGTCATTTCCATAAGGTTGCATAAAGAAACTTAATTTTAAAATATTTTAAAATTTTGTGACTTTTGTCATTTGTGTATTTAAAATAAAAAAAAAAAAAAATTGTAAAAATTCATTTTTCTTCAAAAAAATTTTTTTTTTCCAGATAAGAATTACCTTATGTTATTCAGAAAAGTCATAAAAAGCTTTTTTAATTAAATATTGTCTTAGTTTTATTGGGTTTTGTATGTTTACAATTGAGGTAAAAGTTTGGACAATTCTACACATGTTTTTACCAAAAAAAAAAAAAAAAAAAAAATTCAATGATTTAGAATCTTCAGAGTTTTGTGCATTTAATAAAAAAAAAGAATCTGGATACAAAAAAAATTTTTTTTGAAGTTTTCATAAAATTAAGTTCGGAGGGTGTAACATATATAAAAAAAACATTCCTAAAATAATTTCATTCATTTGTGAATAAGTTCTGAAAGTTTCATAAAAATCCAACAAGTACTTGATTTTTGCAAGATTTTCCAAATCAATGTGGATTTTCCAAGTGAAAAAAAAAAAAAAAAAAAAAAAAAAACACACAAGATTTTCAAACTAAATTTAAAATATGCTGCAAATGAAAAAAAAATTTTTAAGATAATTAAAAAATACCTTGGTCTTCCCTCTTTAATTTTAACAATCATTTACACGTTAAAATTTTTTTTTTATCAATTTGGGGACCTTTTTCTCCAGGGTATACCACTTTTTTAGCGTTCTGGTACAACACTAATTTTAAATCTTAGATATCGCAAATTAGTGGAGGTACCCAACTGACGATAAAAACTTAGTTTTTAAGTTTTAGGCTTTTTTTTTTTCATAATTTTATACTGTTTTTCGCTGAAAAACAAAAATTGCATGAATGTAAAGAAACAAAAAGCAAACATTTTGAATTAGAAAAAGGCGCTCAATTTTACGGGAAAAGAAAAAGACGCTAAAAATTAAGTGCATTTTATTTCATTTATTTAAATAAAAAAAAAAAAATTAAAAAAATCATCGTTATTTTCACGGATTGGAAGCATTGAATTATTTCTTTTGTTTGAGAGATGAAAGAGAAAAGACACGGTAAAAGAAAAAAATCGAAATTTAATTTGAAAAATGAGTAAACTTATCAAGGCAAATTAAGATATTAATAGTGATTTTACTACTTTCAACCCATTTAATACCACATAAGAATTTTAGAAACAAACGTTTTAAAAAGAATTCGAAATCAGAAAAAGAAAATGAAAAAAATTGTTAAGATGTCTAGCATTTGGCTATTTCATTATGTTTGTTGCAGCAACAACAATCAAGCTGACAAACAAATGGTAGGAGGGAAAAAAAAGGATGGGTTCAACAAGTGAAGGAAGTCACGATTTCTCTTGTTACACTATTCACAATAACTTATTGTTTTTTTTTTTTTTTAAGGGGGGGGGGGCAAATTCAGCGAAGAAACAGAAATGAACAAAATGTGAGAAATGCCCAAGCTTTTAATAACTTTAAGTCAATTTTGCTCGCCAAGATCAAATTAAAAGACTATCTTGCCTCGCACTTGTTTCATTCATTTCTCTTCCTCGTTAAATGTCAGGGTCAAGAAGAAGCTCCTTTTCATAATGTCGACCACTCAAGTGATCGAAATAAATGACAACTATCACTAAATTATTGTCTCTTTTTTTATATGGGGGAGGGGGAGAGAAGAAAATCAAAATGAGATGACAGTCGCAAAAAATTAGAAAAGAGCAATATTTAATTAAAACAAATTATGGAATGGACGACAGACAAATCGATATTAAAATATTTGAATATAAATTTGAGACAAATGACTCGTTAAGGCATTGTTAAGAGAAAACGGAGGATATTAATAATTCCCTATTACGATGAAGACGTAAATTAAATGAATTCTTCCTCAACCAACAAATTGTAGAGAAGGAAAAAAGCACAAACTGTTGCAAAATTAAAATATTTTGAATAAATTTAAATAAATATTTCAAGTTTAATAGTACAAAATTCTGTTTTGACATTGACACGTGTGAATTGTAGAAATAAAGACATTTTTTTGTTAATAAAAATTCAATGTCCACGACCATGTCCTTTACAAAGTATAAGAAAATAAAGTCATTTATATTTTTTGATGATGAAAAAAGAAAAAAATAACTAATGATGAACAATTACAGGAAGCAAGAGATTTTTCCCTCCCAGAAAAAAAAAAAAAAAAAATTTTCCTTCCTTTCAAGACACCATTTGCAAGAATAAAAAAAAAAAAAAAAGAAAAAAAAAAAGCGATTCACGGTGAAGAGATCAATTTTAATCTTTAAAATCGATTTTGAAACTAATCGATTTTTTTAAATTAACGCTCGATAAAATAAAAAAAAGTCAGTTAAAAAATTTGTGAACTTTTGAATTCAATTTCTTTATTTTATGACGTTAAAAATACTGGAACTCTAAAGGTTAATTCTAAATAAATTTACTCATCAATCAATTCTACCAATCATTCCAATTTTAATCTGAATAAATTAATAATCAATTCTTATCATTTGTTCTTCCTTCGTGTAGAAATGAATTCTTAAGCAGGGAGATAGAAAAAAAAAAATCAGCATTTTTAGAGAAATTAATGAAATAAATTAAAAAGTAATTTGGAATTCTTTGAGGAGCATAGGGCATATAGTCATCAAACTTCAAATAAGTGATCGATTTTTGAAAACCTGAAGATTTTTAAAACAGATCCTCCAATTCCTGACCAAAATCTGTTGAGAAAAATAACTACAATCTTTCCCTGTTACCAATTTTTCATTTCTAGTCTTTCACGCAATCAAAACCATTTTCGCATCAGTTTACGAATTTACTTAGATCAGATAAAAATTTAATGTTAAATTAAAATTTCATATTAATTTATTTAAAAGACAAAAAAAAAAAAAAAAACAATAATCGAATAATATATTTGAAATAATGAATCGTTGAAAAATCATGTCGGAATGCAGATGACCTGCTACAGTTTTAAGGTAATAATCTATATAACCAGATCGGCTTTTTTACTCTTTCAAAGAAAGGTCTTCATGAAAATATCAACATTTTTAGGTCTAATACATATGAAATATATGAAACAAAAAATAAAAATAAAAAAAATGAAAGCTGTGTCATTTTCTTCCTTATTTAACCAACACGGCCATCGAAAAAAATGCAGACTACTACAACTGCTACTCGACATTTAAAATTTCTTCTCCATTGCCTTATTACGAAGTTTTAAATATGTCATTTCAATACGATTGTCGACTTCATTTTCCTGGAAGAAGGAAGTTGATAATAGTGATAAAACGATAAATTTAAAATTAAATATCACTTACCTTCAGATTTTAATTTAGTTAGCACGAAGATAAGATAATTATTAAAATCTGGATAGGTGTTCAATTCCTCGAGTTTCTGAACAGCTGTTAAGGAATGATTTACAGGGAGAAAAACTGCATTATACATCGAAAGGATAAACGATTATTCTTCAAATAAAGCAACAGAAGAATCCCAAAGGAATTTTGAAAAGGGAATTATCCAACAGTGTCTCCAAAATTGGAGTTAACAGACAAATGATAAGATCGACTGATGTCGAATAAAACACGTGGGGCCTCCATTTCCCGATTCACTATCCACCTTAGATCTACATTTTAAAGCTAAAAATATAAACATTTTCTAAAAGATTGATTTTTTTATAAAGGATACTTGTTGAACTGCTCGCTGTGTAGCTGTATCAGGCGATTGAGATTCTTTCAATAGCTGTAAAATCTGGCGCAGTCCGGCCTCTTCTGGAGACCACGCCATCTTTCCTTGCAGTTGCAACACTAACACACACCGAAAATGAACGACAAAATGGCAGTATGGCTCCTTGCAGATTTTAAACTTTTAAAATGTACAATATTTTTTTTTAATAATTACACATTTTGACTAGCTTTTAATAAAAGAAATCAGATATTCTTTCAAAATATAAAAAAGATAATATTTTATTGTATTATATAACAGTTAATTTCGGAATCTTCCGAAATTGCCAAAACGTTCATAAGAGGAAGGATTTTATTGGTCAATCATTAACCATGACACTTTCCCAACATTTTCATGTAGATGTCCTAATATAAACATTTAAGATGATTTTTTTTCAACTGACTACCTTAATTAATCACGTATTAACTCTCGATAATATTTACATCGATCATACTGAAAAGATAAATTAATATTTTTAAAAGTAAATCACGTGTAAAATTTTAGTACAAATTTCGAACTGACCAATGAAAAGTATTGTTTTAGGCAACACTTGTCAGCTGGTCTTCAATCGCCGAGGTCATTACATTAACAACTAACTAACTAATGACAAAAAAGAAGAGATGTTTTAATAGTTACTATTGAATTTTTATTTAAATTCTTTCAATGCATTTATAAGAAAAAATGATTTTACCTTAGTCGGAGAAATTCATTACATGACCCTTATTGACAATATTCTTGCTTACTTTTCTATTGTTAGAAATGACGTAAGTTGTGAAGATGAAAGTGACAAAGTACAAGTAAATAAAAATACATCGTCTCTATTCATAAAATTTTCTGCTCAGAATTAAATAAAATTTAACGTGTTTAGTTTAAACAAGACAAGTTTAAGAAAATCCAAAAGTTAGATAGATAAAAAAAAGATTCCATTAATAAAAATATTAATTAAAAAAAAAAAACATTTATTATAGTAGTAACTAAACACAAATTCGAATAAGAAAAAAATGTGTTTATTTATTTTAAAACTAAAAAGTGAAAAAATTGCTTAGAATAAATAAAAAGGTTGACGAAGTTAGTAAATGTTGACTAGTTGACAGAAAAGAAAATGACTACATCTTTTTCTTCTTTATTTCTGGTTTTTTATACAATAATAATATAATTGAACCCTTTTAATTTTCATTTTTAGGGGATTTCCATGTTGACAAGCTAAAAAAAATCTCTTTATGTTTTTTGCCTTCGTTTCCATTCAACACCCAAGAAAAATGTCACAAAAATGCTATTATTAACTTAACGTAAAATAAATTCAATTTCAATATCAAGAAACTGAAAATATGACAAAAATTTATTAAATCAATCTTATTAGCATTCTTATTCATACCCAAATTTTGTTGAAACAGAGATTGACTATTGAATTGAGTCATTTATTAAAAAATATATACTTAAAAAAAATTAAAAAAGAAATCGTTTTTTCTTAATTTTTTTTATATTTCAATTTCCCATAAATTCATGGCTTTTTTCTTAAATAACAAGACATTACTTTCATTTTTGAAATCTTGGGGATTAATGTTTTAAATAAGAAGATAAAGAAAAAATCTAGCAATTAAAAAAGACAAGTATTGTTAGCAATCGCGATGATTTTTGCAAAACCAATAATTCACTCACTTGTTATTTGTAAAATTTGGTACCCTTCTCGATTCACTGTTGCCTTAGAATAGATTGCAGTGAGTAATTAAATTAATTTGTTTTGTAATTGCCAATAATAGAAAAGGTACCAAATCATTTTTCATTAAATTAAATAGAGTTATTTTAAAATATTTCACTGAAATAACAAAAGCAGATACTTTTACGTATATTTTTAAGCTGGTACAAAATCATAATTATTGTGGAACACTCTAGAAGCTCATTGATAAAGGATTTTGAGATCTATACATCAAATATTTTAAATAATTGGCATGAGTCATTTTGTATTGCCTCTCACTTTTTAAATTTGTATCTTCAGAACACAATAAAACCTTACACATTCTTTATGAAACATTAATTGCATAAAGATTTACTAAAAATATTAATTTTCAGAAATCAGTTTGTTAATTTTATTTGAAATTTGGTAAAATTAAAAACCCTATTTCAAACAGAAGTTCCGCCCTGTTGACTGTGGCTTCAGAATACACCGAAGTCCTGGGTATGATGATAAAGGCCTCTGATCAGTTTTGAGGTGTGTGGAACCACATCTTAATTGCTGTTGTTCCCAGGTGCACCCTGACCCAGGGTGGTAGCACCTGTAAGGGTCCCAGCTATGGGAAAATAGTTAACCCACAAAGTGGGGTTGAAACAGTATGAAAGTGTAAAAATAGGTTATATGTAAAAATACCAGCAATAGATTTTTTGAAAAAAATTATTACCAGCAATACATTTTTGAAAAAAAAAATACTACCAGCAATACATTTTTGGGAAAGAATATTACCAACAATCCACTTTTGAAAGAAATGTTACCAGCAACAAAAATATGCTGTAAAACAAACCAATCCAAACCAAACTAATCAAATAGAAGTTAGCCATTACATTTTAGAAACAATCAAACAAAATGATGATTACATATTAATGAATAATGACTGCTTAATTCTTTTAATAAAAGATAATTTTCTCAGGCAAATTACATGAAAGATAATTATCTTACTGACTTTAACTAACACCTTTGTATCTTTGAAATGGTCATTATATTTTTTTAGTACCCTACAATCTATTGTTCCAGGTATTGCTGAGTTTGCCATTCACATCTAGATTTCAGAATAATTATAAATGTAATTTTGTATTTTTTATTAATATTATTTTTGCTGTTAATAAATTCATAACACTCGTAACTGAACATGTTTCCTGTTATAAAATGAAATTTTCTTCCCATTCTTTTTCATTTATTCAAATGAGTGAAACAAATTTGTTTGGCCCATAATTTATAAAAAGAAATAGTAAATATTGAAGTTCATTTTCCATGAAATATTAAAACAGGTAACCTTATCTTTGTTATATTTTAATATCATTTTGTTGCTCAGCTTTTCTTTGAAACATGTTATACTCTCCACACCTTGATGTTTACCGAGGTTTATACCATCCCAGTAGAAAGATGTTTTACACTGCATAAATCCCAGTGTTTTGGAATACACTAAAGAAACTTTCACCATTAAAAAAAAAGTCAAATGTTTTTAATAGGAAAGACCTTATTCCTCAAATGGCATTTTAAAGCAGGCCACACTTAATAAATTCCTTTCTTTTTTTCTTTGAAAAAGTTAATCTTTAAATTGTTGTTTCTGATTGACCAGAATATACATTTAGTCTAAATAGATAAAAATAGTTGTAGAATCAAGCTGCAAATATATCAATTTGTGTAAAAGTTCAGGATATGTTGCAGCTTCTGCCAGTCTATAATCTGCACTTTTCCTTATCAATGTCATAACTAGGATTCCATATACATAAAGGTCAAAGTCACAAAGAAGATTCCACATATTAAGGTCAAAATCATAATTTGGGTTCTCTATACAACAAGGCCAAGGACACCAATATGATTTCATAGAAATTGTCAAGGTCATAACTAGGATATCATTTAGGGAAATGAATTACAACTTTCCACTTCCCTTTCTTTTAAAGAACACTTTGGAAAATATCTATTAAAGAAATGCCTCCAAAAAAATTTGAAATATTGATTATCAAACAAAAATGTATATTGTGCTTATTTTATTATTTCCTCCCATCATACTCTCAAATGAAATGAAATTTTAAAATTGATGTGAAATGAAAAATCATGGAAATATTACAATCTCTTAAATTTTTTATTGATCAAATAAAGAATGTATAAAAGTTTGTTTCACAATTATATTCATTCTCAATACACAAATATAATTCATTTTGAGAATTTTGTTTTAGCAGAAAGTTTGGATCATACACTTATTTTAAAATAAATTGACTATTTTAGCTTGACTTTCATATATACATTTTTTCCAGAAGAAAATAAAAGATGATTTTTCTGCTGGATATGTGGGTGGTGTAATGGTTAGTGGCTCAAAATGAGAAATTGGCAAGCTAAGTTCAAATTCTAGTCCTTGAGAAAAGTATGAGGTTAAATAGTAAGACAGACTTGGATCTCTACCTATGTTTGGCAACTGATCTAGGAGGACACTCTGAATTCAAAACCCAAACACCTGAAACTCTCCAAAGATGCTTAGATATGTGGATCAGATACAATGTAAAATAAGACAATAGATTTCAACAACAATGGATGATCCCACTGGTAAGTGATTATCCAGAATGCTGTTGATACCAATGGGCAGTGGGCCCAAAGAAGGAAGGATAGATGGATGAATTTTATTTTTTGAAGTTTGACTAGTGATAAACATAAACTTTCAATTCATACCAATCTTATCTAAGGTCAATTTTTATTACAAGTTTTTACAGTATTATTGGAAATAAAAAATATTTTACTAAAAGCAACAAAAAGATGAAAATATAAAAAAGAAAAGATATGTATAGTAGAAAGAAAATACTTTATTCTTTACCTTAGGGAAATTCAAGTACTTTTATTTTAATTTTGCATTTTACAATGTATTAGCTGGGTAAAATTCAATATGAAAGTATGGCTAAATACTGATTGTAGCAAATATATTCAAATCTTGTGAACATTTTGGTGTTAGGTCTTATTATCATTGCATTATATAGAGATTTAATGAACCTCTGGTTTGTAAGGTCATTTGTAAGAGATGAACTGACAAGGTTTGGTAGGGATGGGAAGAATTTAATAAAAAGAAACATGAATTATTATCAATAAAAACATGGGATTTGGATCCTTAAAAATCTTAACTTTAATGACAATCTTAATCATCAAATTTTTATTTACTTTAGCCATGACATTTCTCCAATATTCATACCAATTTCTGTCATGCAGAATCTTTTCTTTTAAAATGTCTTCCAGGTATCTTAGCACTTTGCAAAACCAATTTAAACTCTTCTATCACTAGCAATGTATTCTGTGTTCTGGGCTGTCCTCCTCTTTGTTGAAAAGATTCTAGGATACATATGCT